AGTACATGACCTGACGAGTCACTTGTCATCATGTCACATGACTGGTGGAAATGCAAAAAAAAAAATCCTTTCCACTTTTGCAATATACTTCCATTTCAACACATTTCAAAACCCATCTCATGGAAACAGAATTTTTTTTTGTTAGGGTGGTTCTGTTTGTTACCAACAGGTGGCACGGTAGGGCTCCTCCTGCAGTGGCGCACCTGTTGTTCATTGTTTCATTCGTGTGTGGTTAAAAGGACTCCCTGCCCGAACAGTCAGTGTCGGATCATTGTGTGTCTCTGTGCACGTGTCATGTTTTGTTTTCTTTCTTAGGTTTTTGCTACTTTGATTTCTTGTGGTTTTTCTGGACTTTAATTGAGTGAGTTTTTTTTTTTAGTTAGTTTCTCCGGTGTATTCTTGTTTGCAATTTTGTTAAATACATCTTGGTCACTCCACCGTGCTCCTCCCTGCCTCCAACTACCACCATGCGAAACGTGACATTTTTAGCAATATTTGAGAAGCTTTTCAAAATTTCTGTGTTTCCAGGAATAGTTTGCTACTGCGCAACTTGCATTTTGCACGTTTCTGGGGGCATTAGAAAGCCAGCTATTGTTTAGGTAATTTGAGCAGATTTGCGATTTCAGAAGTATATATATATATATAAACAATGTAGAATGCTGTTGAAGGTATTTCCTGCTTACTGTGATTACAATCACCTTTGGTACCCCCTCACTCCCACCACTTTTAGGACCCCTCCAGAGGACATGTCAACATCAAAAGAGGAACTGTTATCTCAAGTATCTGTGTTGCAGCTATTGAGGGACTGCGCTTTGCTATGAGTACTATTGATCTCAGTCTCTTTCCTGAACATCTGTTTGCACACTTAAAACAACGTATGTAGTGTTAAAGTTTATCTTCTTCCTCCTTGGTTGATTAACGGGCCCCCCCAAGTCTCTTCTGTTGTTCCCCCGCACCTTGGGTCGGTCCCTGATCGCTGTTAAGCCCCCATGGGAAGACCTCTTATCTCAGGATGTGTCATGTTCCGTATTTGGCAGCAGGTGGCAGGCGTTCATTCTGCTGCCTGCACACCTGCTGCCTATTTGTTAATGATTACACCTGCTTTATCTAAGCACTCCGGCTTCCGATTCATTGCCGGAGTATTGCATGCCGTGCCACTGTGATTGCCCATGCTCGTAAACCTTATTCGTATTCAATTGTTGTTCGCTACACTTTCATCATCCCATTGGGATTATTTAAAAGCGCATATTTGATCTAGTAAATTGTCTTATCTTTTTCCTTGCCGTTTTTTGCAAGCGCTTTGTTTTTTCATGTTACATATTTTCCTGGTTCTCGTTTTGACCAGCGTTTTCTGTTTTCCATTAGACGGTGTTTTCGTTTGCAATAAATATTATTTTTTGAGACGAAGGCCTTGTCAGTGTCTGCTACTTCGGGGATCCACTTATTCTCGTTCGCTCTGTTGCATACGAAGCAGTTCTTTTT